ATCCCTGAATAACTAAGGATGATGTTCTCAGATCTACAAGAATGAAGGTACCAAACGAATACAGGGAAGCCCAATGAAATACAGCAAATTCAGAGGAGGTCCACTTTCAATTGGCCACCTTCTCAAATAAATAGGATAGCCTCATTTTCACATTTTTGTTTTTACCTAGGTGTAAACAACAACAACTTCTTCATTAACTTCTACTCTTTATCAAAACCCTCAAGCAAAAACAATGGTAAAAGTGACTTGGTCCATATTCTTAAAAGAAAACAGACAACAACATTGGATTTTGATTATTTATGGCGTTAAGGACATGTGAACTTGGTTGGAGGCCCCATGAAAGAAGCTGTGCATGGAATCAGAGAGCAGAGCTACAGAAACTGGTTTACAGCAATTAGTTTTCATTAACATCCTCCTGGGAAGCTGAGGGTCTGTCCCAGAATCAGCCTCTGGGGCTAAAGAAACAGACAGATACTTGTTCTAAGGCACACATAGTCTTTCAGTTCAGATCAGGAACCCTGTAGGAGTAAAAGAAAAAGTTATCCCAGGTTGCTGACCCCTCTTTGTTTATGTCCCAGGGGAGAAAAATTATGGTAAGAGACTGAGTCTTAGCCTAATTAACAACAACAACAACAACAGCTTTTCTGGGCTTCCTTCACCAATGGAGCAAAATAATGCTTGTTTCCCACCCTCGCCCAAGGGCTGAGTTTGAAAGAGAAGTTCAGGCCCTGAGACTTCTCCTCACAATGTCCTAAACACAGTGTACCCAGGAGATGTCACAATGCAATGAAATGAATTAACATCTGTTTGCAACCCTCCCCCTGAAAAAAATGAAGCAGGAATATTACCTGTTTATCGAGATCCTTGTTGAACTAAAATGAAAGAAAGAAAGAGGATGTTTTCAGTCATGAAAAACACCTTAGATAATTAGATAAACTTTCCCATCCTCTCCCCCTCACCCCAATCCTGTCATCAGGAATTAAGACAGGGCTGGTTGGAGACTAACCCATCACTAAATGACACCCCCTGCAAAAGCCTGAGTACTGGAGACTTCCTGCATCTGGCTGAGATAAGATCCCAGTCTGGGGATTCCACTCTCCCTAAATGCCAGCTTAGCTCCTCAACCATCTGACTTCTGTGGTCTCCAGAATTCTCTGGGGCTGCTTTTCTGGCTCAGTCCCTTATCATGGAAGATGGATGAGAGAGACAGGGGAGGTTAAGTCTTAGCCAACTCCTGACGGTTCCTTACCTTTCTTGCTTCTCTTATGCATGAAGATACCCACTCCAAGGGTGATGAATCCCAGCACAAACCCCCCAACTCCGGTCAGCATTTTGTTTTTGGCAGAATCAGACTCTGCCTCTGGGAAGAAAAGAGCCCAGAATCAGTTTTAGCTGTATCTGAGTACCTCCTCAGGTCCTGTCTAAGATATTTGAGTCTGATGTAGAATACTGGCATGAGGACAGTGAGAGAGATACACTTTGGAGCAGGACTAAACTTGGACCCCTAAAGGACCCCCAAGTTCTGGAGCTTAGGGTGGGGGTGACTTCATCAAGGGGACAAACACTGATTTCTTGTAGCTGCCTCTCAAAATAACTCAGGAAAGGCTAAAAGGCTGAGGAAGAGAACCATTCTCATGTGTGAGGGTCATTCAGGAAGGTGTCTGAGTTCCCTATATTTTCTGACAAGGGGGAGACCTGTGAATCCTCAGAATTCCCTAGTCAGGGACAGGCAAGTCTCCACTGCCTCCAGCTCAGAACCACAGTCAGGGATTGTACAGGAGAAAGATGGGGTAGACGTGACTCAATGTACAGACACACAAGACAACATGAGGGGACCCCGAAGTCAGAACATCCCCTGCTCTGTAGAATGTGGGATCCAGTGGAGTTGTCAGGGAGTCACTCACTCCACTCCACGGTGACAGGACTATCCAGGCTGGGGTGCTCCACATGGCAGGTATAGACATCGCCCTGCTGGGGGGTCATTTCCAGCATCACCAAGATCTGGAAGGTCCAGTCTCCATTATGGACCAGATCGGTGGACACAATCCCAGCTGTTTCTTCATGTCCATTCCGGAACCACCGGATTTGAATGCTGCCTGGATAGAAATCTGTCACATGGCAGACAAGCAGGTTGTGGTGCTGTAGCGGCCCCCTCTTGGAAGGGGAGATGTTCACTTTAGGCTGGACTGTAAGCATGGAGAAAAACAAAAAAAAAGGTAATGGCATTTGAAATTATTATTTCTTAGACATTTTCATTATGGAATTTATTTGTAGATATTTACAATATAAATGACATAATCAGGCTAGTGAATAAGGGTAGTATGGAAAAGACAGAAGTAGACCTTCAAATGGAATATGCATGACTTTGAATTACATAATAAAGATTGAGAAGAACAGGAGAGAGACAAAATCAGCACCCTCTGGCAGACTTAGCAGAAATTTTAACTATAAGCCATTAACTAATAGTCTTTGGACAAAGAATGTTTAACCACCTATGAAACTACCTATCTTTTCGATGCTCTCTCGATGAAAAAGATGAAAATAATTTGTTGAAATTAAGATATGCTTGGACGATGATATTCTTTTGGTCTATCAATCTAATGAGTTTATTTAAAGGAAATGAAGTAAGTTTGACATGACTTATTCTTTAATGTATGTATTTTCTGATTTCCCTTACCAAAAAAAAGCAAATTTTCTATATTTATAGTAATATCCCCTAACCCAATATTCTGAGCACCTAGATGCTTGATTAGTAGGAATTCCAGCACTTTACCAAGTTCCTTCTCTGCAATTATGTCTTCTTGGGTTCCTTGAGGATTCTCACAAACAGTCAGGTATACTTGTACCTAAACCTCTCTAAACTTGATGTCCTCTCCTCTCCTTGTACAGCTCTGCTGCTCTTAGATCAATGTCCATACTGATGTCTGCTTCCTGTGATCTGCTAATACCCAATGCAGTTACTTGTTTTTGGCCTCTGCCATCTCTAGGGGCAGAAAAATTCCATCCACCCCTAGAGAAAGTCCATTCACAGAGATTTTCCTCATCACAGCTTCTCTGTCCTTAATAACTTAGTTTTCTGCTATCTCCCAGAGAACACAAATATCATGAGGTGGGGCTGGGTCAGGTTAAAGCACAGTCTTGAACTCTTCACACACCCATTGCTCCCACTGATATTTTGCCCTGTGCCCAAATTTGTCAAAACTGCCCAGCCTTCTTTACTCAAAGTGATTTTCTTTTAGGGACACCTTGTGTCTCACCCTACTTCAATCGCCTTTATACATTCACAGTCCATCAGACAGTTCAATGCTATCTGAATCCCAGTTGTGGATTAGGTTTAAGTTTGTTTCCATAGGACTCCTGGCCTCACGCAACCTGGGATATCCCTGGACATGTAGTTTAAGGTCCTAGAATATTCTACCATAGGTTCTTTGCCATGAGTACACAACCAACCTCAAGGCGGGCACTGGAGCTATCTAGAAGCCAAATGGTCTCATCTCTGATCCAGCTCAAAATACATTTCACAAAAGCAAAGGATTCCTATTTACTCTAAGATTCCTATTTACTCTAAGACCACCTTGTCTAATGCCCACAAAACATCTGCTCAATTACTTCTAGACCTTAATTGGGCATCCACATCAGAATTGCCACAACTCCCATTCCCCTTTCCTCACCCATCTCTCCAAGTTCTTCCCCGTTCTGATTCATGCCCTTATTACTATTTACAATGATAACAGTTTCTGACTTGATCTCCCTAACTCCAGTCTTTCCTTTCCCCAACTCATGTCACACTCTTCTGAAAACTCAGCCCTGACCGTGTCATTTTCCTAGATAAAAACATCTTCAGTGCCTGGCAACACTTATATGGCTCCACGCGAATAACTACGGAGCTAATTAAAATTACATGTTTCCAGACCTCACCATCCCCTGAATCTGAATCTATGGTCAGTAGGTTTGAGGAATCTGTGCTTAAAAAAGACGTCCAGGAGTTTCTGGTGAGCAGAGCTAGGTTGGGAACCCACTGGCCTAGAAGATAAACCCAAACTCTGTAGCCTGGCATCCAGAGCTCTCTGCAATCTAGCAGCTGGTTATCATTAAAGACAATGGTGCCATGCAGAATTTTTGTGTCCCTACAAATTATTGGTAAGGCCCTCAACGGTTTTTGCCAATCCTATTGTTTTGGGTACTTCTCTCACCTAATTACCTCTGCAACTTTCCTAAACACATGTCACTCTCCTAATTCCTAATCACTTTGTCCCCCATCTCAGTCTCAGCAGATGACCTTGCCTATCACTTTTCCAAAAAAAAAGGTGGTCAAAAGGTATAACCTTAGACAGCTTCTACCTGCTCCCACCCTTCATCCTTTCCCTTTTATCTGTGACAAGGGTCCTTGTTTTTGTTCGGTTTCCTCAGGTTGGTGTACCCAGTCTCCCCCTCTACAAGCTAACGGGAAGAAGTTAATGCTCTTCTCTCCCGTCCTTGAAAAGTCCTCTTGACCTTGCACACACCTCATCTCTCCTCTTCCCTCCACACTCAGGTTTCCTGAAAGAACAGTAGAATTCAGCTCAAAAGCTACTCTGTGCCAGCGCTGGGGAATCAAACAAGAATAAAATGTCATCTCAGCCTCTGACAAGCTTATGCTCCACCCTCACCCTCATCCCCTCCTTACTTCTCACCTCCCACTCACTTCTCAGCCCACTGTGGTCCAGCTCCTGCTCTCACTGCTGCAGTCATCCTGCCCACCCTCCCCATCCCAAGGTCTCCCTAATTCCCAAACCCACATTTCAAGTTGTATCTTCCTGATCTTCCTAAGTTTTTACCACTGTCTACTGTGCCCTTTAGGTCACCTCTCTACCTCAACTTCTATGACAGCTCTGTCTGGATTCTCCTAACACTCGTTGTTTACTTTTCAATCTCCTTCACAGGCTTTTCTCTCCTGGCCAACATCACAAACGTCAACGTTCCTGGGATTCAGTCCTGTGTTCTCTTCTCTTCTCACTGGATCTCCTCTCCCTACATAATCTTATCGGAATATCTTATCTGGTCCATACTCTTCTCACCCGCTCCAGACCGTTTACTGTAACTGTCCATTACACAGTCCACCTGGGTGTCCCTCAAGCATCTCAAACCCAACAGACTCCAAAGTCAACGCACTATCTTCCTCCAAAAGTGTTTCCTCTTTGCACTGCCTATTTTGCTTGGAGGTACCATCATCATCTTCCACAAAACAAACCTGGAAGATATCCTTGTCTCCTCACCTCCACAGTTCACCAACTGGTCCTGCCCTCTCTCCCCTGGACAAGTACTAAGCCTCCAGGCTGGTTCCCCTCCCTCCTCATCCGCAGCCCAAAGTCCTCTTTCCCGCTTGACCAAAGGCTCAACGTCCCCGAGGCGGCCCCGTTCGCCCACCATCTCTCCGCTGACCCCGCAGCCCCCCGAGAGCAGGGCCCGCGGACGGAGACCCTCCTGCCACCGACTCACCTCGGCGATTCAGGAGGACGGGCGCACCCAGCTCGTAGTTGTGTCTGCACAGCGTGTTCTTCTCCGCCCGTCTAATCTCCATGTAGTCCTTCTGGCTGTTCCAGGACTCGGCGACCCGCCGCCCCAGCTCCGTCACCGCCACGTACTCCCCCACCTCGCTGTCGAAGCGCAGGAACTCCTCCCGGTTATAGCTGTATGTGTTCACGTAGCGCTGCGTCCCGTTAAACGCGTAGCAGTCGTGCCGTGCCTGAACCATGTAATTCTCTGCGGGGAGAGGGGCGGTGCTGAGAGGGCGGGCCCTACTGCCGCGCACCCGCGGATCCCCGCGAGGCCCTCTGGGTGAGGAGAGCGGCCGCACCCGGGCCGCGTCCTCTCGCCTCGCCGCCCCTCGCGCCTCGCTCCGCCCTCCCGCCGGACTCAAACCCGAAGCGGCCCTGGGCCCCCGGGCCTGAGAGCGCCGACCCTGCGCGCCACGGTCTCCCCGTCCTAGTGCCTCCAAGCCCAGTAGCCGTGTTTTGTAGTCGTGGTGTTCCCCTCCTCTCTTCCTTACATGTGTTAACTGTACACGTACAAGGTACTGACTATACTCCCCGAATCTCCCCGCCTCGCGGTTGGGTTTTAAAATAAATTTTTCCCCCCTAATAGTTGATTTACGTGACGTTAGACCGATTAGAACCTTTCCGACCTCTGTCTTCTCACCCACAAAATGAGAGAATTTAATGAATATAATGTGATTCAATGAGAAGAGGTGATTGATTAGGTGATGTTTAGAGAGGTGTGGACATACTGAGGAGAAGGTAGTCAATTCTGCTAGCAGCTGGAGGAGGAGAGGGAGATTAGAGCTTCCGAGGGAGGTGATAGTTCATCGGGGGTCACAGCAGAATCTCACTAGAGGGAGCAGTGGGGAGACGCTCTCAGGCAGAGGGTCGCCAGGGCAGAAGGGGCTGGGGAAAACGGAGAGTGGTGCGGTCTCTCTATCTGAGCTCTTTCCTGACATTGTCATCCTGGTGACAATCTTGGTTCAAATGTCACCTCCTCCACGAAGCGTCTCCTCACTTCTCTCTCTGTTCCACAGTTAGGTGCTCTCTCTTGTGTACTGTTACATCTTGTATATACCTCAATTTTCCTCTTGTGTTGTACGCAGGAAATAAAGATAAATTTCTTAAAGTTTGGCATGAGAAAGACTTCCTAGCCTCAATGTTAATGTGTCTTTTCATTTTTCAAATGTGGCTTCAGGGAGAAATGTGAGATGTACATTAATCAATGAAAACCATCACAACATCCAGAGACCCTGGGGATAACATCATTATTCCTAGAGGTATCGACGATGTCATTTTTAATATAAAGACCACATGCTGGTCTTCTTAAGGAGTGCCGCCAGCAGCGTTTTAGCAGGTGCAAATCTGCACAGAAGTAAAGATGATCAAGCACATTTGTGTTTGCTTTTGTCTCAGTCTCTTTGGACCTGGTCTGTTCTTGGTCACGTTAGCGAAATTAAGGTGGTGTGACTGTTATCACATCTGTTTCATCCTCTTCAAGTTAACTTCTTAAGGAAAATATCTACAGTCTATTTTTCTATATACAGTATCTAATACAGTGTTCAGTAAGTATTTGTGTATCAGTGAATAAATAAACAACTAAAATGAACTATGTGTCTGAAACATAAGAGGGAACTCTAAAATGTTTGTTAAAAGTGTTTTTAGATAGATCTGTTACTTCATGAAAAATAATATCACACATTTAAATACCAGATCCAATTTATCACACAACTTCTGAGACCGCATTTAATGAGTGGTGGGGCTGCAAATGTGTCTTTAAAAAGGATGCTCACTTGCTTTTCACTGTGTCAAGGGAGGACTGAATTAGAGGAAATGGGAAAGACTGAACCCAAACATGAGGAGCCCGAAACACCAGATGAAGCTCCGCAGCCAACTCGCCTTAAGTATTGGGGAGCCTTCCTCATTATTAGGAGCCTTCCTATTATTAGGTCTGGTGTTTCCAGGAGAAAGAAGGGGTGGTTGTGGGGTGACATGGATGCTACCACTGTCATCATAGTGATGGCTGTAATAAAACTGGTTCACGTGCTAACTTCGGTTCTACCTCACTGCTTCATGTGCCCCCAACCAGAAGCTGCACAACTGGTGGGACTAGCCTCAGGGGCCACCATAAAAGCCTCTTATCTGCAGTATCAGTGCTAAGGCGAAATCCTAATTCTTGGCCCAGAGAGCCCGTCCCGCTCATCTCCTGGTGCCCAGTGCCCCAGCCCCTTGAGCCCCCAACTCCCTCAGACTAGGAGTCTTTCTGTCTCTGCCAATCACCGCCCCTTCCCACCCAATGGCCCCAGCTCCGAATGTGTTTCCCGTAATCTTAATAGGTTATTCCTCTTTTTCCTTCCCCATTTATCAATCAGGGAACATTACTGTCAGTCTAGAAAAGTAACTTCGAAATTTTTTTATAAAAGCAATATTCATTTTTGTTTTCAGATGCAATCTTACTTGCAAAATAGACATAAATGATGAGTGTGTTCTCTGGGCAATTTAAAATTTTCATTTTTTATGTGTGTATGAGGAGCCTTGATGGCACAGTGGTTAAATGCTTAGCTGCTAACCAAAAGGTCAGTGATTGGAACCCACCAGCCACTCCGCAGAAAAAAGATGTGGCAGTCTGCTTCCATAAAGATTACAGCCTTAGGAACCCTATGGGGCAGTTCTACTCTGTTCAATAGGGTTGCTATGAGTCGGAATCAACTCGACTGCAATGGTTTTTTGGGGGGTATGTGTGTATGAGAAACTTACACTGTTTGTGGAACCCTCGAAGAAACTCTGAGTTGCACAGAGCACAGTTGAAAAGTACTGATTTATGTAAAATTATCTCTCATTCAAAACAGGAGATATTTTTAAAAATAATTATAGGAGGATATAACGGAGGCAATATGATGTGAGAAAAATGACACATTACAGATATGGTTTCAAGTCCCAGCTTACCACTTACTACTATATGATCAGAAACAGCAAGTTACAACCTCTCTAAGTCTCCATTTCTTGAAATGTAAAATAGCACTACTACTGTTTACTGCTCTGACACTTAGGTAAGTTAACTTACGTAAAGCACGTAGCATTGTATCTGACACTGCTCCATGTACGTTAGTCCCTTCCCCTTTTCAATGTATGGTCTCTTTAAATATGTGCAAAATTCTAAGGGAACACCTAGGAGGGAGGGACCAGTTCAGCCCACGTCCTACTGGAAAATCGCAAGCGGAGCTGCCATTTGGACCAGACCTTAATGGTTGAAAAGCTTTTGTTGAACATCTGCTGACTAGATCTTCCTTTTTCTAATGCTTTTACTCAGGGCATAAAAATGACAAAAAGAGTAAGAATATGAAGACTCAAATCTACAATGAGCTTCTCCAACTGCCCAGCTGGTGAGACAGGGAGGACTTGGCACTGTGGCCCTAAGACCCTGGGATAGTCAGTTTGGTGATGAGGGAACCTCATTCATAAAAGCTCATTTTTAAAGTCTGCCAGAGCTAAAAAGACGTTGCCTCCATAAGTTTGGTTTTTTGAGCCCCCATCTGCTACATCATCACTTCATACTCAATAGGGGTCATCTCGACTAAGCTCTTCTCCTCTGGTCCCCTTCAATCTAAAGGCTGTCCTCTCATGCCTTTTCTCTTCTGCCCTGTTTGAGGCTGGCGGTTGGAATAGTGTGAAGGGAATTGTAGAAACTTCCCTGCCTACTCTATCCACATTCCCATGTGACTTCAGCTCCTCCTGCAGGTTTTTACTGAGCATATGTTCTGGTAACCTACCCTCAATCCCTTTCACATACCCACACATTCCTCTCCACTACTTCTCTCTCCCACTGTCATAGGCACCACTCTGTTCTCTGTTCATTCCACCTATGGGATGACCATGACTCCCACCACTGCCCATTATTCTACAGATCAGCACTTCCTATGGGATCCAGGTACTGCCGCCCCTCATCTCCTGTTGAACATTATTCACTGTCATCCGACCACATCTTCAGGCTCCTCTTTTCCCAGCCTCATCCCTCTCTAATTCTCAGAATTCTGAAGGTACAGGCTGCGCAGCTGAGCTGTCCTGCTTAGTTCCCAGCACTTCTCTGTGACTAACATCTGCTAGGTTCCCTCCCATTTCAGCAAATAGGTCCAATGGAAAAGAGAGTGGCCTCGGGGCTTGAAGGCTGTACTCAGGAGATTCAAATGAAAACAGTATGTCTTAGGGAGGGGTGCAGAGAGGTCTAAAGGAGGATCTATGAAAGAAAAAGTGGGAGTTAGTGAGAAACCAAGACGACCCACCTTCTAACCCTAATTCTCATGGTGTTGGGTGTAAATGTGGACTAGAAAGTTAAGAAGTGCCCTGAGAGATAAAGAATCCTAGCAGATGTAATATTAAACTAGCCACAGTGAGAGAGCATGAGGAAGAAGTCTCTCCCTTGTTACTCCTTCCTTGGCCCTCTAGTGACCTACCCTCAATCCCTTTCATATATCTGCAAAATCTCATTTCATTCTTCCTACAAATCTCAACCAGTCCTAAGAATACTCCGATCAAGTCCTGTAAAGTTTGGGAGAATGACCTTCAACTAGAATGTGGCCAGGGGCTGGCACCACAGACTGTCTCTCCACCCTCCTCCCCCTCCTGTCATCACTGTCCAAGGAGTGCGGGCTCCTGCTGTGCCCTAGAGAATGAAGGCCCTCTCCCTGAGCGCTGAATTAGCAGGGTTGTCATGAGAGCCTGGGCATTCCAGCCAGTGGCTCTCTATATGAGTCCCCTCAATGTTCTGATGCAGAAGGGAAGATGCCTGAGAGGCTGACCTCCTTCTAGAAATCATGTCCCTCCAAATCCCAGACCTCTAGTCTCCATTTCCCACAGCAGACAACCATACCGACCCCTTAGCAGCATCTCCTCTTCCCTGCTCACTGTGCCTGTGTCCCTGGGAAAGAGGATAGGCCTGCAGGAGAGCATCAAAGGGTGAGCCCGATTCTCTAGCTAGGAAGGAAATACCCTGAGCTATGACAGGCACCCCCATAGCTTGTCTCAGAGTCTGGGTCCTTACAGGAAAAGGCCCCTGGGAGTTGAGTTAGGCTCTTGCTGCTCTGCACTTACCTGGAGTAGCCCTGCCCTGGACCATGGGATTGCTCAGCACCATCAGTAACACTGTCACAGCTGCTGTCCAGGGGGCCTCGGAGACATGCAGGACCATCATGGAGCTGGAAAAGGTTGGGGAGATGGAGAGTGTTGCCGTCGGGGAAAGACTCACTCACTAAATGGAGCCCCTTTCTGAAATATCAGAGACCATGAACCAAAACTGTTTCCTACATCCCCTGGGATTGGACAGACTCTGAGAAAGGAGCCAATGAGCACTGAGCTTGATATGACTCATCACTCACTGGGCAGAAGCTTAGTATGAAAGGTCTGACAATTTAAAGTGTATGATGCACTTAATATGATAGATAGAGGACAGTGATACTCATCTTGAGCAATTGGACAGGTCATGAGGGTTTGGAAGATTATGTGGTTTATTTTCTCTGAAGCAGATCTCAAATATTCTGGTGGCTCACCCATGGAGATTATCAATCCCCCCAACCCTGTCACCCCTCATTCCCACATAACGTAGTCTGGGGTGGAGCAAGTATAGTCTCAGTTTTTAAAAGGTCATTCAGTGGCATAATTTATAGAGAGATTAGACCACCTACCCCAGAACTCAACATGAGTCCTTGAGTCTGTCTATCTTCCTCTGCTCAAGGGGTATTTAGGATTAGTTCCCACCCATATTCTCTTTCTCCCAGAGGTCTTTTAGTCCTGAAAAGTGCAGGGAATTTAGGGTCCTTACATAGGACTGTGATCAGGATCAGCATGGCCCAGTCCAGGGACCTTACATATGGGAGCAAGGACATGCCAGCTATACTACCGAGTAAGTATGTAACTTCAAGGACATTACCACTCTGGACTTCAATTTCTTCATCTTTGGTAAGAAGACAATAAAAACCTGTCTTTACAGCAATGTTCAGAAGGTCAATTGAGATAAACAGATCTGAAAATGCTTTGGAAAAGCAAAGTCCATAGAGAATATAAATAGATCAGTAAATGAGGAAGAAAATGAAAAAAAAAAATCATCAGAGACCCTGTTGTTGTTGTTAGTTGCCATTGAGTCAATTCTGAGGCACCTCTGGGTGGATTTGAACCACCAGCCTTTTTGTTAGTAGTCTAGCGCTTATCCATTTGCACCACCCAGGGGCTCCTTCCTCCTCCAAACCGTCTGATTCTGATGTGTTTACAGTGAATACTTTACAGACTTTCAAAGAACATTACTGTCTGTTCTATAAACTTATAAATGTGATCTGGTGGGACCACAAAATCTAATAAAATGTCAAACCAGCATCGTTTATTAATAGAGCTATTAAGAGGTAAATAAAATGGTAGCATACAAAAAAAGAATTACATAGCATAGTGTGTCTGTTAAGATGAGGAATCCGTACAGCATTGTACCAGGAAAAAGCTCAGGTTCTGCAGTAAAACTGGCTGAGTTTGACTCCTCTTTATCTCACTTACTTGCTACAAATAATCTGAGTCCTTAGACCCTCAGTGTCTCAGGTAATTTGTTTTTTAAACGGACATTAATAATACTTACCTCTTCTGTTTGATGTGAGTAGTATAATACTTGTGAAGCACTAAAAGCAGCATCTGGCACATACTAATTTGCTAATACTTATTACTTACTATTAATGTAAGGCTACCACAAAACAAGAAAAATTGATAGAATATATTTCATTATAACATTACATGTTCTGTGACCTTATCCATGAAACCAAAGAAGTATTTCAAAGTAAAAATCTTTAAAATAAGAATAGAAAAGTAATTCTTTCATTGTGGTAAGGAGAATATAAAACAAAGAATGAAAATTACATGTAATAGGCAAGTATTAGAGAAATCCCACTTAAAAACAAGATCAAAATAAGAGTGCCCATTGTTACCATATTTAATGATGAATTGGACACTTATTGACAATGAAATAAAAGGAACTAGCAATTTTAAGAGAAAAAATTAACATTTTGAGGCAGTTTACATACTTGAAAAAACTTAAATAATAAGAAATATGAATCAATAGTAATAAGAATTATCTGGAAATTCTATTAACAAAAATAACCAGAAATAGGAAGATACTCAAAGATCATATCTCTAAATGAAACTATAAAACTTTTCCATAAAGAATTAAATAGAAAGAGGAATATTTCAGGCAGGTGGACAGAAAGATTAATTATATTCCTTGCTACATAATGCCTTTGTACCTAAATGCCAACAGAATATTTTTGTAAATGTGATGAAATAATTTGAATGTTAATTTAGAAAAAATAATGGATAAAACTGTCAAAAATAATCTGAATAGCAACAATGTGAATGTGGAACGAATGAAGGAAGGTTAATTCTATCATATAACAGAACATAATATAGAACAACTGCCATCAGAAGAATGTTTGTATGACTTATCTTTTCAAGTCTCTTTCTCAAATCCTGAAAATAAACTATGAATTGGAGATCCCTGGAACATATTGGCCCTTAAAAATCCCCCTTTCTCTCCAGCCCCTTTCAGTATTCTCTTTACCCAGCAACAGAGAATGTCAGCTCTATAATTTCTCTCATTGGTTGAGCCTAGCCAAGCTGTTTTCTCTCCACCCCTTTTGGCCATTTTAGAGTAATACAAGTCTACAATTTCAGAGCTCTTGCCACTCTACCCCAGTTCCTCTTCACTGTTTCTGTGCTTAGAGTGGTCATTATACCTCACAACGTGCATCCTGAAGAGAGAATGTTCCAGATCAAAGATATAATCCTGAGAGCCCTCGCCCTGACTTCCCTGCTGAGTCTCCAAAGAGCTGGAGCTATCAAGGGTGAGTGTTCAGGAGAATGAGAGAACAGGGCAGTGAGGGTGGGGACAAGTTACCAAGTTGCTTTAGAAATTAGAGATTTCAGGAAGCCATTGATCTATTTTCCTCCCTGTCCTTTCTCTCTCTTCTTTATTCCCTTGAGTGAGGTCCCCCTTTGCTCCCTTTCACTCTAATGATAATGACAATAATAGCAGCCACCATTTACTAGACATCTACTTACTATCTTTCCTTATATACTGCTCACAAGAACCTTCAAAGAAGATATTATCACCTCCATTTTAAACATGAAAAATTGAAGCTCAAAAAGATGAGTTCATTTTCCAAGGTTACAAACCAAGTCAAAGAGCCAAGGTTTAAACCAGGCCCAATTCTGATGATCATACCCTTCGCATTTCCCAGGTTTCAGCACCCAGTGACTTTCTAACTGAACCCTTCAGGGATACCGTGGCCCTCATAACTCTCCTGGATCCCTAGCCTCTGCTTCTAGTGGCCCATGAGGGCCTCCCAGCCAAGTGCTCTGTGTGTTGGGTCCTAAGAGAGAAAATGCTAAGAGTGATACTGTGTTCCTCCCTCTCTCCCAGGATCCTAGGGCCTCCCCAGAATCTTTGTAGGTGGTTCAAATGCTTTCTTCTCATAAGCAGCTGTGTCTATGTTTTTGTTAACCTTGTAATTTGAATCCTAAGTGAACCAGGGGATTATTGCTGCATTGAGAAGCCTAGACTTCAGACAAACACCAAGGTTTATCCAGGGACATCATAGTGAATGCTCTTTCTCTACAGCCCTGATGTCAGGGAGCATCAAATCTGTGAGTCATATTGCCATCCAAAAATCTAGTGTTGTAAATGAGTAGAGTTCTTAATATAAAAGCAAATTCCCACAAGATGCAAAGTATGGCCTCCATACAGTTTTATTTAAGATATGGGATCTGGGGGTGGGTAGAAGGGAAAAAGAGATGAGACTAGGGAGAAACAGAAGTACCTATTGTCCTGAAGCTGGTGATAGGGAACCCAAGGTTGAGTCAGGATATTGTTGATGTGTTGTGAGATTGTTAACCATTGTCATAGGGCAACATTTGTAGTAACTGTTAAATGAGAGACTATTTTGTTC